CCCTGGGATAATTAGCTCAGTGACAGGCTTTGGATAAGGAGGGCACTGTTTTTTTTAACAGTACAGTACAGTAGTTGTAATTCCTTTTCTTTTTCACCACCCTCCCCTTTTTAATTTTACATCAGGAGCACAGTAGGAAAGAAATCACCCATATAATCTAGTTTTTCTTATCAAAGGGGAAAAATGTGTTAAACTCAGCTCTTTATCCATCCTCTTCTTGGGTTTTTTTTTTTTTGGCCTTTTGCAGGCTCTTCCTTTCTCTTCCCCATCTTGTCTCGACAAAAGACAATCAAGGCAATGAAGACATCATCACCACAAACATGACCAAGACATCTGGGAAGGAGCACAAGAGGCTGACGTAGACTCACACACAGCTGAGTAGGAACTGTGACAGCAACTCTGCGTCATTCTGGGAGACAAGGTTTTGAAGAAGTGAAAGTGGTTGTGTTACCCGCAGGCAATGAGCCTTGATAATGACAGAGGGAAAGTGTCCCAGTGGAACTGCCATGGAGGGAAGGTGGCGGAAAGGAGTGCACACAGACAATGGATGAGTGCTGTTGAATACAAGTACATGTTAGACTTTCCTAGAATCATAGAGTTGGAAGAGACCACATGGGCTATCCAGTCTAACCCCCTGCCATGCAGGAAAACACCATCAAAGCAACCCTGACAGATGGCCATCCAGCTCTGCTTCAAAACCTTCATTCCAAAAGACTCCAGCCAGGCATGTAGCCGGGGGGGGGGGGGCTTTAGGGGCTTCAGCCCCCCCCCAAATTCTCATGTTAGTCCGCGAGAAGGCCTTACTGGTACATTATTTAAACTGTTATATCATGATCTGATCACCATGCTCAATATATCCCATATGCATGGGGGTATTGGGATAATGATACAAATGGTTTGCTAGGGTAGACCCTCTTTCACTCAGACTCAGCCCACTGAATCAAAATCCTAGCTACAGGCCTGACTCCAGCATACCTCAAGGCAGCGAGTTCCACCGTTGAAAGCTCTTCCTAATATTCTTCCTAATGTTCGGGTGGAATCTCCTTTTGGGTAAATTGTACTCTATAATAATAATAATAATAATAATACTTTATTTATACCCTGCTACCATCTCCCCAAGGGACTCGGTGCGGCTTACATGAGGCCAAGCCCAAAATGCAACAATATAAGCAATAACAATAACTATACAAGCAATTTAAAACAACAAAATAATAAAACAATAACACAAGCATTATCAATAGGACAACACACTTTAAAATCTATGGGTGGCCAAATGTAACTAAAATTAAAGATTAAAAAATAATGCTGGACATGGGCGAAAAAAAGTGATGGGGCAGTTTGTGGGAACATACGAGCAGACCTAAAACAATATAAAGCGCTTTGGAGGACAAAGTGCTATGGGATCATTATTCTGGGAAGGCACACTGGAACAACCATGTCTTCAAGCTTGTCTTAAAAACTGCCAGATTTGGGGCATGCCTGATGTCCTTAGGAAGTGAGTTCCAGAGTCGAGGGGCCACCACCGAAAAGGCTCTCTCTCTCGTCCCCACCAATCGCGCTTGTGATGCAGGTGGGAGCTTGAGCAGGAGTCTCTAGTCTCCAGGGCAGCCAAAACCAAGCCTGCTCCCTCTTTATTATGACATCCTTTGACATATTTATGCATGGCTCTCATGTCTCCTCTCAACCTTCTCTTTTGCAGGCTAAACAGACCCTGTTCTTTAAGATGTTCCTCATAGGGATTCATGATCATTTTCAGCACCCTCCTCTGGACAGTTCCAGCTTGTCAGTCTCTCTCTTAATGTATTTTTGAAGGCTTTCATGGCCAGAATCATTGGGTTGTGGTAGGTTTTTTGGGCTATATGACCATGTTCTAAAAGCATTCTCTCCTGACATTTCACCTGCATCTATGGTAGGCATCCTCAGAGATTGTGAGGTCTGACCTGTCATAGATGAGGCGAAATGTCAGGAGAGAATACTTCTAGAACATGGCCATATAGCCCGAAAAACCTAAAACAACTTGACCTCTCTCTTAAATTGTGATGCCCAGAATTGCACACTGTATTCCAGGTGAGGTCTGACTTTGTAGGATGGCATTTCTACTTGGTGTCCCCTATTTGTTCTCCTCTTCCTCCTCACAGTGGAATAAATGCCAATAATTATTTAATGGTGGGGCTTTGGTCTGTCTTTCTAAGGCCCCTTCTACACTTTCCCATATCCCAGGATCTGATCCTAGATTATCTCCTTATTACAGATTATCTGGCAGTGTAGACTCATATAATCCAGTTCAAATCAGATAATCTGTGATCAGATCGTGGAATATAGGGCAGTGCACATTGAGCCTAAGAAGCCACAACTTAAAAGTCAAACCTTTCCTACTCATTCCAGTTGGAGATAGTTCCCAAGTCTTTCAGCACATGCTTTCAGGCACCCTTTCCATATGATCCCACACCTTCCAAAGCGCTGGGAAGAGATTCAAATGGAAGCTTCACAAGAAGCTTCTAAGGCACCATCTACACTGCCCTATGTCTCAGGATCTGATCCCAAGATACCTGTTTTGAACTGGATTCAAATTGGCAGACAATTGGATTGGATAGCCCATGAGGTCTCCTCGAACCCTATGATTCCATATGAGCCTCCACTACCAGATCATCTGGGTTAAGCAGATAATCTCAGATCAGATCCTGGGATAAACGACAGTGCAGATCCAGCCTAAGAAGCCACAACTCAAAAGTCAAACTTTCCCAAGTGGCTGCAAAACCTTCCTGCTCATTCCAGTCAGAGATAGTTCCCAAGACATTCTGCACATGCTGTCAGGCACTCTTTCCTTATGATTCCACACCTTCCAGAGCACCAGGGAGATTTAAATGGAAGTGTCACAAGATGCTTCTGAGGTCCTTTTACACTGCCATATAATCCAGATAATCAAAGCAGATAATCCACATTATCTGCTTCAAACCGGATTATATGAGTCTACACTGCCATATAATCCAATTCAAAGCAATCTGGATTTTATATGACAGTGTAGAAGGGGTCCTACACTGCCCTATATCCAGAGATCTCATTCCATATTTTCTGCTTATCCCAGATTATCTGGCAGTGGATATTCATATAATAATAATATCCAAAGCAGATAATTTGGGATCAGATTCTGGGATATAGCATAGTGTAGCTCCAGTCAAAGAAGCCACAAGCTTGTCTCTAAATTCAAACTTCCCAGAATGGTTGTGAAGCTTAGTAATGGAGGAGATATTCTCCAAGACACTCTGCACATGCTCTGAAGACATCCTTCCCTTATGATTCCACTCCTTCCAAAACACCAGGAAGTGTTCTTCAGGTCAACACTCTACTTGAAAGAGGAGGGAAAGGGCTGGAAAGGTTGAGGCTCTTCATCTCTTTGCCAGGTACAGAATCGGGGACAATACCTGTGATTCCGGCCATGACAGCCTTCGATAATACAGTACATAGACCTCATAACCTCTGAGAATGTCTGCCATAGGGCGAAAGGTCAGGAGAGAATGCTTCTGGAGTAGAATCATAGAGTTGGAAGAGACCTCATGGGCCATCCAGTCCAACCCCCTGCCAAGAAGCAGGAAAATTACATTCAAAACACTCCCGACAGATGGCCTAGTGTACATAGACCTCATAACCTCTGAGAATGCCTACGTCATAATACATAGACCTCATAACCTCTGAGGATGCTTTCCATAGATGTGGGAGAAAGGTCAGGAGGGAAGGCTTCCGGAACACTGGCTGTACAGCCTAAAAAACTTACAACCCAGTGATTCCAGCCATGAAAGACATAGACCTCACAACCTCTGAGGATGTCTGCCATAGATGTGGGTGAAAGGTCAGGAGAGAATGCTTGGTAGAATCATAGAATCATAGAGTTGGAAGAGACCTCATGGGCCATCCAGTCCAACCCCCTGCCAAGAAGCAGGAAAATTGCATTCAAAGCACCCTCGACAGATCGCCTAAGGTACTGTCCACAGAGCCTGGAAAATCACAGCAACCCAGTGATTCTGGCCGTGAAAACCTTCGACAATACATTAGACCACACAACCTCTGAGGATGCCTGCCATAGATGTGGGTGAAAGGTCAGGAGAGAATGCTTCTGGTGTACTGTCCATACAGCTGGGAAAACTCACAGCAACACATTGATTCCGGCCATGAAAACCTTGGAGCGGACAACACCTTGAGAAGTATTGGTTGCTTTAAAAAATGGGAAAGAGTTTGCTAAGCTAAGCCCAGGAGGGTTGGTCCTGTCTGGCAATCCGAAAGAGAGAAAGAAAAAGAGAGAAAGAGAGAAAGAGAAAGAGAGGGGGGGGGGGGGAGACAGAGAGAGAAAAAGAGAGAGAGAAGAGAAAGAGAAGGGAGAGAGAGAAGGAGGAGAGAAAGAGAGGGAGAGAGAAAAGAGAGGAGAAAGAAGGGAGAAAGAGGGAGAAAGAAAGAGAGAGAGAGAGAAGCGAAAGAGGGAGAAAGAAAGAGGGAGAGAGAAAGAGAGAGAGAAAAGAGAAATACATTGCGAGAAAGAGAGAGAAAAAGAGAGAGAAACTGAAAGAGGGAGAGAGAGAAAGAGAGAAATCGAGAGAGAGAGAGAGAGAGAAAGAGAGAGAGGGAAAGACAGAGAGAGAAAGAGAGGGGGGGAGAAGAGAAAGAGGAGAGAGGGAAAGAGAAGAGAGAAAGAGAGAGAGAGAGAGGTGGCGATGCCGACAGAGAGAGAAGGAGGATGAGAGAGAAAGATGTATTATATAAAGAGATATGGTGTTATATATAGTGAACACTAAGAGAGAGAGAAAAGAGAGAAAGACATTGAGAGAAAGAGAGAGGTACAGACAGTGAGAAAGAGGGAGAGAGATAGAAAGAGGGAGAGAGAAAGAGAGGGAAAGACAGACAGAGAGAGAGGGGGGGAGAGAAAGAGGGTGAGAGAGAAAGAGAGAAAGAGGGAGGGAGAGGGAGAGAGAGGGACAATCTATAGCTATCTTATTTTTGAAAATAAGGGGGAGGGGGGAGTAAATCCTTTTCTGGGAGAAGAAGGAGGGAGGGAAGAGGCAGAGGAGAGAGAGAGAGGCAAAAAGGGAGAGGAGGGCTTTGGGGAAGGGACCTGTGCCGAGTGAGGAAAGGGACTTGGGAGGCGAGGAGGGGACGAAGATGTAGGTTTGGCTGGGCTGGGGAGGGTCCTTCTTTCTCCCCCCTCCCTCAGGCTGCTTGGCTCCCTCTCTCTCTCCTCCATAGGCGCAGCAGGCGTGTGCGTGGCGGCGGGGGAGCGCGGGTGGGCGCCGGTGGCGGGCTCGCCTCCTTCTTGCCTTCCTTCCTTCCCTCCCTCCTTTCCCTCTTTCCCTCCTTCCCTCCCTCCTTCCTCGAGCGGCTGTCTGCTCCTGGCCCTGGACACGGCGGCGGCGGGCGAGGGGCGAACGTGCGGCTCAAAGGCTTGAAGTATGGCAAGCAAAGATGGTCTCTGCCAAGGAGCCCGCGGTCGCGATGTCTTCGGGGCTGTCCCTTTCCTTGGTGCACTTCCTCAGCTTGGCGACCTGGTGAGTCCGATTGGCGACCTCCTCCTCCTCCTTCTTTCCCTGCTCCTCCAGCTCCCCTTCATTCACTCCTATTCCCACCTTCTCTTCCACAGCCTGACTGTCCTCCCAGGGCAGCTCAAAAAGGAGGAGAAACTGCGCCCGGAGAATTTCACGCGCATCCTGGACCGTCTCCTGGATGGTTATGACAACAGGCTCCGTCCTGGATTTGGGGGTATGCTTTACTGTGCCTGTCTTGTCTGTGAGGGGGATCAAAAACAAAAGCCGCCCTAGGTATGCTCCCCTGCTTTTCCCAACCCCTCCAAACTAACCCTGATCTTGTCGTGTTCATGATGATTCTCTTATTCTTTCTTTTTTCTGATGGATATGGATACTCTCCCTCCAAATCGCAGGCGGGCTTGGTTCAAACCTCTCCCCAAGCCTGCCCTGATGTTCCAGCTTGCCTAGCTCTCATCTTCTAGACAGGGAGGAGGAGGAAGGAGAAGGAGCAGACAGGGATCCTGCTGCTGCTTTCTCAGATCTCTCCAAAATCCCTTTCCCAGACAAGCCAGGCACCTGGTTGGAACACATCTGGTAAAGCCTCTTTGAGATTTCAGCAGCCAAATTCCCACACACGGAGGAAGTTTTGCTCTGGCTAGTCAAACTCTCCCCTCCGAAGATGCCAACCACAGATGCAGGGGAAAGGTCAGGAGAAAATGCTGCTAGGAGACAGCCATAGAGCCTGGAAACCACACAACCCCTCACAAACACTATGTCTCATTCTATCTCTTCTACCTTCTCTGGCTAGTCAAACTCACCCCTCTGAAGATGCTAACCACAGATGTAGGGTAAGGTCAGGAGAAAATGCTGCTAGGAGACAGCCACACAACCCCTCACAAACTCTCTCATTCTATCTCTTCTATACATACTTTCTCAACCCATCAACCCCGACAGATTTCCTGCCACTTGGTGGTCCTTTTACCTCTGCCACCTTCTACCAGGTGAACATGCTGCCAGAACAGGGCCACACAGCCCAGAAACCACACAACACCCCACAAACTATGTCCCATTTTATCTCTCATACACACACTTTTCCAACCCATTAGGGTAGGAATTATGGGACAGATTTCCCTTCCACTTTGTGGTCCCTTTTCCCTCTTCCACCTTCCTTCCACACAGCCCAGAAACCACACAACATCCCACAAACTCTTTCTCTCTCATTCTATCTCCCATATACACATTTTCCCAACCCATCAAGGTAGGAACTGCTGGACAGATTTTCTTGCCACTTTGAGGTCTCTTTTCTCCTCTACCATCTTCCTTCTGCCAGGAGAACCAGGAGAACATACTACCAGAACAGGGCCACACTGTGTAGAAACCACACAACACCCCATAAACTCTCCCTCTCTCATTCTATCTCTCATATTCACACTTTTCCAACCCTGCATCGGCCAAGGGGCCGGCTCCCTCGCTGCCAAGAGCCCCACGGACCCCAAGGCTGGACAGATCTGCTGGACAGATTTTCCTGCCATGTTGTGGTCCCTTTCCTCTCTACCACCTTCCTTCTGCCAGGAGAACATGCTACCAGAACAGGGCCACAAAGCTTAGAAACCACACAACACCCCACAAACTCAGTCTCTCTCATTCTATCTCCCATATACACACTTCCCCAACCCATCAAGGTAGGAACTACAGATTTTCCTGCCACTTTGTGGTCCCTTTTCCCTCTACCACCTTCCTTCCCCCAGGAGAAAATGCTGCCAGAACAGGGCCACACAGCATAGAAACCACACAACACCCCACAAACTCTCTCTCTCTCATTCTATCTCTCATATTCACACTTTCCAATCCATCAAGGTAGGAACTGCCAGACAGATTTCCTGTCACTTGGTGGTCCTTTTCACCTTCCTTCTGCCAGGAGAACATGCTACTAGAACAGGCCACAGAGTGTAGAAACCACACAACACCCCACAAACTCAGTCTCTCTCATTCTATCTTCCATATACACACTTTGCCAACCCATCAAGGTAGAAACTACCAAACAGATTTCCCTGCCTCTTTGTGGTCCTTTTTCCCTCTGCCACCTTCCTTCTACCAGGAGAAAACGCTATCAGAACAGGGTCACACAGCATAAAAACCACACAACACCTCACAAAGTATCTCTCTCTCTCATTCTATCTCCCATGTACACATTTTCCCAACCCATCAAAGTAGGAACTGCTGGACATATTTACCTGCCACTTTGTGGTCCCTTTTCCCTCTGCCACCTTCCATCAGGAGAAAATGCTGCCAGAATAGGGCCACACAGCGTAGAAACCACACAACAGCCCACAAACTCTCTCATTCTATCTCTCATATGTACACTTTCACAACTCATAAAGGTAGGAACTACCAGACAGATTTCTTGCCACTTTTTGGTCCCTTTTCCCTCTGCCACATTCCTTCCAGCAGGAGAAAATGCCACTAGAACAGGGATACACAGCGTAGAAACGACACAACATCCCACAAACTCACCATCACTTATTCTTTCTCTCATACACACACTTTTTCAACCCATCAACGTAATACTGCTACTACTAATAATAATAATGTTTTATTTATAATTTAAAATAATATTATAAATATAAATATAAATATATAATATTTATTTATAATTTATAGTAATACTATAAATAAATATTTTATATAAATATATAATTATAGTTTATTTATAATTTATATATTTATACAATATTTATATAAATAAAGTAGATATAAGAGTATTTTTTGTATAATTTATAATAATTTACATTTATGCATAATGAAGTAGGAACTGCTGGACAGATTTCCCTGCCACTTTGTGGTCCTTTTTCCCTCTGCCACATTCTGCCAGGAGAAAATGCTGCTAGAACAAGGCCACACAGCATAGAAACCATATGACACCCCATAAACTCCCTATGTCCTATTCTATCTCTCATAAACACACTTTTCCAACCCATTGAGGTAGGAACTACTAGACAGATTTCCTCCCACCTTCCTTCCACCAGGAGAAAATGCCACTAGAACAGGGCCACACAGCATAGAAACCACACAACACCACACAAACTTTCTATGTCCCATCCTATCTCTCATACACACATGTTTTCAAACCCATGAAGGTAGGAACTACCAGACAGATTTTGGGCCACTTTGTGGTCCTTTTTCCCTCTGCCACCTTCTTTCCACCAGGAGAAAATACTGCTAGAACAGGGCCACGCAGTGTAGAAACCACACAATACCTCACAAACTCTCTATGACCCATTTTATCTCTATCACACACACTTTTCCAACCCATCAAGGTTGGAACTACCAAATAGATTTTGTGCTGCTTTGTGGTTCCTTTTACTTCTGCCACCTTCCTTCCACCAGGAAAATATGCTGCTAGAACAAGGCCACACAGCCCCGGAAACCACACAACACCCCACAAACTCTCTATCTCTCATTCTTTCTTTCATGTACGCACTTTCCAACCCATCGAGGTAGGAACTACCGGACAGATTTCCTGCCACTTTGTGGTCCCTTTTCCCTCTGCCACTTTCCTTCTGCCAGGAGAAAATGCTGCTAGAACAGGGCCACACAGCTCTGGAAACCACAGAATACCCCACAAATGCTCTATCTCTCATTCTTTCTCTCATATACACACTTTCCACATCATCAAGATAGGAACTGCAGGACGTATTTCCTGACCACTGTGGTCCCTTTTTCCTCTGCCACCTTCTTTCTGCCAGGAGAAAATGCCACACAGCGTAGAAACAACACAACACCCCAACAAGTCTCTATATGTCATTCTATGGCTCGTACACACACTTTGCCAACCCATCAAGGTAGGAACTCCTGTACAGATTTCACTGCCACTTTGTGGTCCCTTTTCTCTCTGCCAACTTCCACCAGGAGAAAATGCTGCTAGAACACAGCCACACAACACCCCACGAACTCTCTATCTCTCATTCTATCTCTCATATATACACTTTTCCAACCCATCAAGGTAGGAACAGCTGGACAGATTTCCCTGCTACTTTGTGGTCCTTTTTCCCTCTGCCACCTTCAGCAAAGAAGAGGCGGAGAAGAAGGATTTCGCATCTGCCTCCCCCTCTCCCCCTCCTCCTCCTCCTCCTCCTCCTGCTTCATCTGTGGATCTTGTACAACACCATGAGATAGGAGAAGTTGGGAGTCGGTTGCTTAGATCCTACGACTTTGGGGGCTGCTGCGAAGCACTTGGCATTCTGTCAAAGGAGAGCGAGTGCAGCTGCTGCTTCTTGATTAAACACACACCCGCACACTCTGACGTTGGAGCAACGAGGATGGGGAGAAAATAATTGTGTGTGTGTTTGTGTGTATGAATGCACACACTCACACACACACAGGCTTTCAGGCTTGTATTTGCACGTGCCTTGATCTTGGTTACAATGTTCTTGGTCCAAAATCCCATACAGAGTGGCAGAAAAGGCTAAATGATGTTCTTTAATAACCCTTCTTTAATAACATTCATGTGTCCTAAATCTCTTAGAACTGTGTGTGTGTGTGTGTGTGTGTGTGTGTGTATATATATATATATATATATATATAGAGAGAGAGAGAGAGAGAGAGAGAGAGAGAAGATTCTTCCTGATTTGCTAATATAATTTTCTCTGAGTTTTAATGCATCTATTCTTCAGCTCACTTGTCTCATTTGGTTCTTGTGATTTAGCAGGTTCAGTGCCTGAAATTTGAAATTTGAGTAATCTCAAAGTCCAGATGTGTAGGGTAGAGGTTTAGCTTGTGAGCGAAGTCCAGACTGGACTTAAAAGTCCTACACTGATACTCCGATGCCTCCCTCCTCTTTATGATAAAGTATTAAGAGTTAGCTTCAATTTTTCATTGTTAGTGGAGATGAGTGTATGTCAAACCATAGGATGCAATGATGGAGAGGTATTTCTGGGGCTACTATGCCATCCCAATATTGAGGAAGATTTTTTTTTTTGCCTAGGCTTGCTCTGCGAAAACATTGTGCGTCTTTCTTAAGTGCTGAGTTTAGACATGTGATACACCTACGCTGGCATCTATGCCCATCATTTCCATATATGCCGTTCTCCGATGCAGGCACAAACTTCAGGGAAAAGCAACTTGACGCTATATCCGTTTATGCTTATTTTAGGCATCTTTTCCAGGAGGGGCTGGGCTTTCTCTGAGGACCAGGAAGTGTAAACAAAGCTAAAATTTTCAAAGTATTGGAGGCAG